ATAAGTGGGGAGCGGGGCGATAACTATGGTTAGCGCGGTTTAGTGGCAGTTCCCATAATAAGGAAACCACACTAATCACTATAGACCCCTCATATGCTAACTTAAACTCTTAAACTCTTAAACCTAAACCCTTAAAGGAACCCTTAAAGATCCCTTAAAGGAGCCCTTATAGATCCCTATAATGATAACTTGAATTACATTCCGTAACAATACCCCCGTGAAGGAGGCAAAACCTGCTGGTCCGAGAGCAGTCGTTGCTAGGGTTTAGGGTAAGGGTTTAGGGATGTTTAGGGTTTAGGGCCCAGCTGCTTCCGGAGTGCAGCCTGCAGCCTGAGAAGTTCACGAACATGACGTTCCGTCAGGCAGGATCACGTCGAAACCCTAAGCCCTAAACCCTCAGCCGATGTTGTCGTGGTTCCGGACGTCCATCGGAACTTCGCTGTGTTTGCCAGACTGGTGGGTGCTGGCCTCGTTGATCCACGACGGCTGGAGGGTGGCGAAAAGGCCGAAGCCTGCTTTAGAAGCACAATGGAGGCGAAACGTCTGATTCTACATGTTCGTGACTCCTTAACCCTAAACCCTAAACCCTCGGCCTGCTGTGGTTCTGGTGGGAACATCAGCCCGGCCTAAGAAGCAGCTAATGTTTTTTATTTTTGCTAGGGTTCTAAGTTCAGTATATGGGTATGTTATGCTGTATTATCCAACTTCTTTGATTACTGCAGAGCAAAATCAGGCTCTTAAATTACGACAGCCGCTAGAAGAACAGTCAGAAGTCAACCACAGGACATAGCCTGAGCCCTCCATGAACCCCAAACCCTCAAATCCCAAACTCTAAACCCCAAACCTTGTAAGGAATAAACTTATAAGTTACCACAATGGGAATCTATAGTAAACAGTATGCTTATCTTAGTATAGTAACTTAGTTTAAGTTCCTTAACAAGAGCCCATTTTCTACGACTCCTTGTTATGATGTCCTTATGCAAGTCCTTAAGATGGTAAGTTATCTGGGGGGCAAGGGCGACCCCAACCGCGGCTAAGAGGCTCTGGGGCTTCTAGCCCAAAGGGTCCTATGTACCGATATAGTAGAATGTACTTCAAGGACCATGGGACTTAGTAACTAGGACTAGGGTTATAATTAGGGTAACTATACTTATAGCCCCAATTAAGGTACTTATAACCTTATGTACTTACTAAGTCCCATGATCCTCCAAGTAGGGTTTTCATATTAGGAATTACTAGTATGACTTAGGGAAGTATCCCCCATAACAGTACAAAGGACCCCTTGTGTAGGGTTTAGGATGAACGATCGTACCTGGGGGGTTTGTTCCAAAGGTCGGCACTATCGGGAGTGCGCTAACCTGCCACCTTGTGGTAATGTGGAAGCCTGAATAATTAGTAGAAGACTTTCTGAGGATTCCCTAACTAACATATGCTCCATCAAATCGAAAACGCTGAATCCTGCACCGCAAGCCCTTAATGGCAAACTCGCCCTAAACCCTAAACCCTGCACCCTAACCCCTAGGCACCCAAACCCCTAAACCGTGAACCCTAGAAGCCGTCCGCATCCAGGAAGATCGGCGCGACGAGACTGCTCGCAACGGCCGAGGTCGGATGCCGCACAACTGCTTGGGGTTTAGGGTGTAGGGTTCTCGGCTTAACCCTATACCACCAACAGCAACAATCGAACACCTGGAACAGAGGGTGCTGTTTCAAGGTTTCGGGTTCTTCCCGCAGGATACGATGATTTAGTAAGTGGATGATAAGCAAGGTAACAAAAAAAGCTTGCAAGACAGATTTTTGATGTGCCTGTACTCTTCTTACTTGCCAGGTCCCCGGATCAATAACAGGACCCCAAAGCTCTAAAAAATTACACTTCGGAAGCAAACTTCACTAATGATTACTTTGCCTGGTCTACTAAGTCTCCTCGTCATCCAAGTTGTGAAGAGGCCTGACTAGTTTGCAAACTTATTCCTGAGGGTTCAACCTTTTTTTTCCGAATATCCCGAACCCTAAATCTTTGGGCATTTTGTGTTAGGCACCCTAAATAAACCTTGCGAGATGTCTTTTAGCCTTGCCCAGGGGTTTGGGTTTGTTCGGATCTAGAGCCTTCTGGAGAGGCCTTGGATGGTTGTGCAGGGTTTGGGGTGTAGGGTTTAGGATTTAGGGTGTAGGGTTTAGGGCCCCGATATCAGTTTCTGTGAGCACTCTGTAGATCTTTCTAGAAATAATGTACGGGTGCAAGAGGCAAAGGTTTTCTCAAGCTCACACCCGCCAAAGCATCCTAGACTCCTGACCCTTAAGCCATATAATAGCAAGTCTCCTTGGAAGATCGTTCTAATCTCTTCGCCTATGTACCGTAAAAGCTTCAAGGCATGAACCGCTCGACCGCTGATGTTTGGGGAGCTAAACAGAACCTCTACCCCCTAAGGTTGAGCTTTGAGGGTTTGGGCTTGCAGGGCCAGGCTTTGAGGTTTTAAGGTGTTTGACTTCGGGTTTCGGGCTCAGGATTGGGGTTTCGCGTCTAGGGCTTTGGGTTTAGGGTGTAGGGTTTAGGTTCCCCAAATGCCAAGTTAAACCCGAATAAGCCACAACCTGAGCCTGGACAGCCCGCGACGACGGCCGCGCCCCACGGCGGGAGGTTCGTCCCAAGGTGGGAGCTAGGATTTTTTGGGTATGCCGTCGGAAGGGCAGGTGAATCGAAGAGTCCAAGTACCTGGAATCATGCCAGACACTAAGCTACTTTTCTGCAATCTGAGATGCAAGTATACCAGACTAGTATTGGGCCCTCTGCACCCTGGGATACAGAGTTGGACTTGTAGGAGTGAAATGGTTGGTGATGTCTGCTTTGACAACTGCTGGACATTGAAGGAAAATTGAAATCTTTTTGATCTGCGGAACCCCACCAAGTGCTTGTAGTTGATTCGATGGGTTAGTGTTGCGGTCTCGTGGTTCTGACGAGAGTTATTACTACCACCTGAGGCTTTGGCTTGCGTTTTGCACCAGCTGAAGCCCTAAGCCTTGAACAAAATACTTATCTGCTTTGTCATTTGTGGCTTTGTCACCGGCCTGCCTCTGTATGTATCACTGAGCTGCCTCACAGAAAAGCGTCTGATGCTCATGCATCACAGGAGGAATATCGCCGAGACGACCGTCGTCGCGAGGAGGACCCATTACGGCTACGGAAAGCTAGAGAACCCTTGATGGCTAAATCCGTGAACAGTCACAGCTTATTGCAAACCCAATCATCCTCCTAAACACGAGACTAAACCCTCAACCCCTAAACCCTCAATCCCTACGTCAAAAGACAATCGAAACCTACAACTCTCAAACCCTGAATCATGGACTGATCCTGGCGACGTTACCTCTGGTCTAATATGAAACTTGAAACCCCAGAACAGCCGCATACGACAGCGGATAGAATGAAGTTTGGGGTTTAGGGGTCGAATTCGGGGTTTAGGGTTTAGGGACCCTCCCAAAAAAAGGAGCGGTACGACGATCGCCGCCGGCCGAGGGAAGCCGGAGGCGGAGGCTGATTGCTTTAGGCTTTGAAGGAGTTTTGGGTTTAGGGTTTTAGGGTTTAGGGTTTTAGTTATGTAGAAAAGGGCTAAGACGCCCTCGAAGGGGTCTATAAAGGCTATATGACGGTTTGGGATTTGAGGTTTTGCAGATTTAGGATCGGAGCTAGTAAGCTTTGGGCTTCGGCACTTAGTGCGTTCAAGTCTGAAGTCGTACATGGTAGTTGTTTATCCAAGGGTAAAGGGAGGGACCCTTAAGAAGGACCCCTAGGTGTATACCCTTGATATAGCGATTATATACCCATTATATAGCCCGTTATAGTGTTGTTTAGGGACTCATAGCGTTTAGGATTCCGGATGGGCGTTGTGCTGGACAGTTACGCTTCTGCATTTCCATTGTGAAGCACGGTTTATTACTTACTAGGGTTTCGGAAAGCGACGAACTTCTTTTGATTCTGTGGGAGTACAGGTCAGTGTGTATGGGTGGTTGTCAAAATGATGGTCCCTTTTTGGGTACCCTAAATAATTAGGTGCCGTACTACATTGGGGACCCAAAAAGGTACCATAATTTTGACAACCACCTGTATTGTGGCTTTTCAGAGATACTAGTCCTAATTGCCAAAACCCCTCTGTCATTTCCGAGTCACGCCCGACATGTGTTCAGGCCGCGATGATGGTCGCGGGCGTGAGCGTGATGCATACCGCGGCAAGGACCTGTGTGTAAGCTGAATCAAATCACTAAGTCTACAGTCTGCTATGGTTGCTCATCCACTTGCTTGCCCACCTACGTGCCCTGCAGCACCTTACGATGTGCACAGCTCCTTGTTTTCTCTGAAACTCCCTGCAACAAGTCCCTGCACCACATTTGTGACGATGGATTGGGCAGGGGGGTCTGGTTGTGGCATGGCATTGTGGACCCCAGGGCTCAGCATTAGATTGCCTGAGCCCTAAACCCCAAACCCTTCACCCTGAACCCCTAGACCCCCCTAAACCTCAAACCCTAAACCCCCTAAACCTCAAGCCCTAAACCCTAAACCCCTAAGCCACAGTCGCTTCCTGATTGCATGCCTCCAAGAGTTGGTATAACCATAACTGTAATATAATTGCCTATACTTTTGTTTTTCTTTGGGGGGGGGGGGGGTTCTTATTATAATTCTAGTATAATATACCCCAAAACCCTACTCTAATTGTGAAGGCCCCTATAGTACCCCAGCACACCCCGACACCCCCGAAGCTCTCGACCTCAGGATTCCTATCAGGGTTTAGGGTGTTTAGGGTTTAGGGTTTAGGGCAACAGGATACCCCAACAACCTTAGTCCAGTTATGCACGTAGTTGTATGACAACGGACAACCAGGTTTCAAGCCTTGAGCCAGAATTTAAGATTCAAACCCTAAACCCTAAACCCCAAAACCCCTAAACCCCTAAACCCCAAACCCTAAACCCTAGAATGTAAAACTCAAACAACAACTGAAGTTCCAGAGCCGATGCAGGAGGACTACCGCCGTGACGACCGTCGGCGTGAGGAAGAGGTCGCGGTGTTTTCGTGAGCCACAGAAACTTGAGGGTTTAGGGGTTTAGGGTTTCGGGGTTTAGGGCTCAGGGATTAGAGTCGTCACCGGTGTCGTCCTTTTAGCGTTCGGGATTCAGGGTTTGGGACCCAGGGTTCAGGGCTGAATGTTTAGGATTTAGAACGAGGGATTCAGGGTTTAGGGGCCTGCGGGAGTGTTTGGGTGCCTTTGGGTGATTTAAACCGAAACTGGATAACTGTAGGAGCGAAGGTGCTGCCAAATACGTGGGCATGGATCTCGCCGAGCCCTGAACCCCACCGCAAAGCCTAAACTATCGAGCACTGATGCGCCCGAATCCCTGAAACTCTAGAAATTGAACGAACAAAAGCCGTAAGACAAGAAGCCCAACTCTACACTCTAAACCCTGTACCAAAAGAAACGTAAGCCCGCAACCCTGGAAATATTCAATTCGTTCTGAACCCAAGATCCTTTGAAATAACAATCCTGAACCCTCAACCCCAAAACCTTCAACAGATCCTGAACCCTAAACCCCTAAAACGCCTAATTAAGCCCCTAAACCCCCAAACCCCTAAACCCCCTACCAAACACCACAACGAAACCCGGTAACCTTCAGCCCTCAGGAGCGCTATGAGGACGACCCCCGTCGAGGCTTTCTGACCTTCTGTCGCACTCGTGGTTGGTGGGTTTAAGGTTTCGGGTATAGGGTTTAAGGTTTAGGGTTTCGGGATGTGGGGCCTGGGATTTAGAGTTGCAGCTCTGGGGGGGGGGGGGGGGGGGGTTAAGATGCATTAAGATGGCCCCTGTCAGCTTGTTGCCTTAAGCATCATCATGGTCGTCGTCGCCGTCATCATCGCCGACATCATCATGGCTAGCTAGCTTCCTCGGCGTTATCAACAGTGTCATCGCCATCGTCATCGTCGTTTCTCCCTTGACATCGTGATCAACACCAGAGTCCTCATCACAGTGTCATCATCACTTCTGTCCTGGAGCCTTATCAGCCAGAATAGGGTGCTGGGACATATTTTCGTACTCGTACTATAACAAATTATAATAAATGGACTACAATGCTGCCTACAGATACAATGTGGTACTGTCCTTCTATGTCCTTCTCCGGAGCTGCCAGGGCATAGGAGACCCGACCCAGAGGGTCCTTCATCGCGCGCTCCCTGGAGTGGAGTTTATTCGGTCCCGCTGCCGAGGCGGCAGAGCCCAACATGGCGTTGGAGATCCTCAGCGAGCGTCAGGGTGTGCCTTTGCAGGTTGGGTTTATGATGCACGAAGATCCGTTTCAGCAAAGAATTTGCACTGGTCGGGCCGGCAAGAGCGAGATATTGCAGCAGATCCGACGGCAGCGGAATTGCGCTCACGTTGCTCACGTCGACGATCGAGAAGACATCGTGGTCGAGATCGAAGAGGTTGGGCTTGTGGCCTTGCGTTTGCCTGACGAGCGCGGGGTAGAAGCCGCAAAGGCCGAGGTCACCGGACGAAGGGCGAACGACACATGGGATGACGAGAGTGCTCAACGAGTTTGGATGTTGAAGCAACAGGCCGCGAAGATATTCCAACCTCCTACATGAGGCGTTTTTTACGTTTTTCGAAGGAGTTCGGTTGCCGTTTCGAGGGGAGATGCAATCTTGTCGGTAAGAACGCATGATGCACATTCGTGGCCCCAGACCCCGCATCCCGAACCCTGAGCCCTAAACCTTGTAAAACCTTAGCAGCTTCTCTGCCCAGCCCAGCCGAGCCTTCCAGCCCACCAGCCCACCCCGAGCCTGGTCCCCAACACCTACAGTCCGTAGCCCCCGACAAATCGAAAGCAAGGTTTGAAAGACACAACTTTCGCTCAAAACAACTCGGCACCCAAACCATAAATCCCTGAACCCGCATCCCTGAAAGGCCGCGACGATGGCCGTGGTCGCGACCGCGATGGCTACCGCGGGAAGGCGTCGGTCGTACCTTGCTTTGACCATAGGTTCTTCCTCACCTGAGCCGTTTTCACCAGCAAGGGCGCACAAAGCGCAGCGGCTTCCTCAAAACCCTCATCCCTTAACCTAAACCCTCTAAACCCTAGACCCTGAAGTTCGACACAGAGTTGTAAATGAGTTCCCGTTTACTCATAAGCTCGACATCTAAAGCGCCGTCAATCCACAGCTCTTGCTGCAAACCCTGAACCCGAACCCTGAGCCTTACCTCAAAAGCCCTGAACCGATGTGAACCCCAAGCCCAAAGCTGCAAACACCCTAAGAAGGTCCTGTAAACTTGTCAACACGTAAGAATCTTGCAGGGGCGTTAGTACTTGCCAATACTTCTTAGAGCGCCTTACCTACGTTTAATAGACCCCAGAGCCCTGAAAGCTGTTTCAATCCTTGAGGCTCCTATCTGTATCTAGGTCTAAATATCCATGTAGTAAACTACCCATCCCCAAGCCCTAACCCGAAAGGCCGAAACCCTAAATTAAGGGTTTACAGGGCCTGGGAACCCTAAAAACCCAAGCCCTAGGAGTCGATACCCAACACCCAGAACCACCTGAAAGCCAGCTTGTACTTGGAGGTTCCTGGGACTTAGTGTTACCCTAGTATAACCCTAGTTACTAAGTCCCATGAACCTCAAAGTATGCCGCAGGAGGAGTACCGCCGTGAGGAGCGTGGTGAAGAGGATCGGAGAGGACGACCAGGTGCATTAGGGGTTCCGGGGTTTGGGGGGGTCTATAGGATTTCAGTGGGTCTTTGGGAATTTCTGGGGGCAAGAGCAATCAAAATGTGGTGTGAGGGTTGTCAAACACAAGGGTTGTTGAGTTCTACAAGGGCTTTACAGCATGGGGTTACTCCGGTCAAGATTCTGAGGTGTGGGGCTTCATGGTGTCTAGGGTTTAGGAGTTTGCATGCAGGGTTTATAGGCTTTTGCGACGGCGCTATGTGGGTTACATGAAGGGCTCAGTGTAAACTTAGGGCTTACCCTAAACCCCAGACCCCTAAACCCTAAACCCCTAAACCCTAGACCCTAAACAGTGTTAGTTTACAGGGCTTCGGGCTCCGTCCGAGGGTTTCAGGCTGCAGGGGTGTTGCAGGTTCGGGAGTTTGTTTTTCACGGCTTTAGTTTGCGTATCTTTCTCCATAGTTTAGTCAGGGCTGTGCGGTTGTGCAGTGTCGGGTTTAGAGTGCTAGGCTTTAGAACCGGTTACCTGATTGACTCAGAGAGAGACGAATGCATTCGATCTGAGCCTAACCTAAATCCGAAGCTGTCGGCCGCACGTGTCCCGGCCATGAGTCGGTTCCGACGCAGAGTTCGGTTCAAGCGTGCGAGCGCTGAACTCTGAACACCAAACCATAAGCATTGTGCCTCAGCCCTTCAGGCGTCTGCCTGGGCTTATACAACTATCACGAGAATGTCATCGAACACAATGAAGCCTGAAGCCTGGAACCCCCACACCCTCAACCTCACGTCCAGGAATCCTTAACTGAGTAATCAGCAACCCCAGTAAATCCTGAACTACCAAGCCTCAAGCCTAAGACCGCGAGCTTGATATAATATAGAAGCTTGACTAATTGCTGGTATCATTCCACAGGGTCTTTTAGGACATTGTCAATCTAATCCCAAATAGACCTCAGAATCCAAATCTGATTATGCCTTGAGCCCTAAAGCTTATTCTTACTACTCTCATAATTATTGTTATCACTAGTAGTGTATCTGTATTTTTGTTATTACTGCTAGTAACTGTTGCTGTTATTATTCTTCTTATGGGTGGTTTCATAATGGTTACCCCTAAACCCCTAACCCAAAACCCAAAACCAAAACCCTAAACCCTAAACCCTAAACCCTAAACCTAAACCCTAAACCCTAAACCCTAAACCCTAAACGATTATTATCAAAAACCCGAAGCTTGAAGCAGTTCGGGGCTTTGAAGCAACTCGAGGCGGAGGCCCACGCCGCAACCGGGAGGCAGGCGGTAACCCTTAACGGAACCCTTAAAGGAACCCTTTATGGTAACCCTTACAGGAACCCCTAAAGGAACCTTTAAAGGAAGCCTTATAGTAACCCTTAAAGGAACCTTCAGGCTCCACAGGGCTTCAGGGCTCCTTTAAGGGTGTAGGGCTTTAGGACTCCTTTATGGGTTTTGGGTTTCGGGCTCCTTGAAGGGTGTACCTAAACCACCAAAAGTAGGTAAAAGAATGGCCCAAAGCCGGTAAAAAAGAAGCCATTATTCTACATACTTTGGGGGTCCAGGTAGGGCTTAGGACTCCTTTAAGGGTTTTGCGTTTCGGGCTCCTTTAAGGGTTTAGACTTTAGGGCTCCTGTCAGCGCGTAGGGTTGAGGGTGCCCGTAAGGGTTTAGGGCTTTGGGTTTAGGGCTTCTTGCGGGATTAGGGGTTTAGGGCTTAAGGCTTCGCCAGGGCGTGTAGGTTGGTTTTAGAGCGGTTTTGTGTTTTATAGTCTCTGTTTACCTAACGGTTGTTGTAGGAGTTTTGCCAGTGTTGTTTAAGTTTGAGTTTCATAAAGAGGTATGAATGTACCTTAAAGTCATATTAAGGATCCCTTTTGTAGGTAAGCTGCATTGCTTCATTCAGGGGGGGTGGAGTCCTACTATTTGCTTAAGAACCCCCAAAAAATAAAACATATATTCCTTATGGGGGTAATATAGGGATTTTTATTTTTATTTTTTGGGGGTTTCTTAAGCAAATAGTAGAGTCTGGATTGTGGAAGCTTTCGGGATTCAGCCCCGAACCCCAAGGCCTCGCGGAGAAGCCTAAACATAACCCCTCCGGAGCCCTCCGGCGCAAAACCCCCAAACCCTAAACCCCTAAACCCTAAACCCCTAAGCCCTAAACCCCTAAGCCCTAAACCCTATAAACCCCTAAACCCCTAAACCCCTAAAACCTAAACCCTCTTATTTGATGATTAACGCCAGTTGGCTGGCGGCAAGGCACGGCAGTTTCACCAATGCGCCGGCGCTATGCAACGGCGCGCATTTGGCAACGCTCAAAGCACTTGACCAGAAGGTCATCGATCTCTGCACTCAGACCATTCCGAGTGGGCGCAAGTACTCATACAATTGCTGTGTCCTTGTTTTACCAAAAAGCCAAAGAGTGGATTGGTGCAGAGGGCCTTCACAATGCATGTGCAGAGGAGCTTCTAGATGCTGACCGCAAGATCTGGCACAGGTTCTTTACCAGGTTCTCCCATCTTCTCATACAGTTTGGATCGCCAACATTGTCATGCTTTATGTAGATGAACTCCTGCTTTGGCAACACCCCAGAGCCCTCCTGCTTAGCACTCCCATTGTGCTCGCTTTTTGCTTCCCATTCGGTATGCCCTTGAGCTGGCGCAAACGCTCCTGAAAGGAATTTCAAAGAACCTTACAGGCAAGCCCCAAAAGCTAATGCAAGCTCATAAACACCCGAATAGAGAAACCCTTCAGCCCTTAAACGAGCCCTTGAAGAAACCCCCGTCGAGATCCCTTATTGGGACCCTCAAGTAGGCCCTCACGGTCGCCCCATTACGGGACGCCTTCAGCTAGCCCCTCAAAGGATCCCTTAAAAGAGAACACCATTCTATAGAGCCCTTTTCGGAGTAATGTTCAGAACCCAAAACTATGGAGCTCTTGAAGGATCCCTTAAAAGAAACCCATTCTATAGAGCCCTTTTCGGAGCAATTTTCAGAACCCAAAACTATGGAGTCCTTAAGAAATCCCCATTCTATAGCGCCCTTAAAGGAAGCGCACTAAAGTCGGAGGAAGCAAGACCTCGCAGTCGCAGCCGCGGCGGGGGGGCGTGGGCCTCAGGGGAATTCCCGATGTGGGTGTAGAGTTTAGGATGTATAAGAATAGGGTGTAGAGTTTAGGGTTTAGGGTTTATACGAATCCAAGGTCAGAAGTTTGGGCCCCTAATATGGACCCTTGGGCCTTTTTGAGGAGTTTCTCGGGACCCTTACGAGTCTATATAGTCTATATAGAGTGTACAGTAGGTTTTTAAGGATCCCAAGGTTAAGGGCCCATACTAGGGCACTAGGGGCCCATGGTTTCAGCCGCTGAAAGAATATGGTGTAGAGTTTAGGATGTAGAAGAATAGGGTGTAGGGTTCAGAGTTTAGTATTTAGGGTGCAGGCGTGTGTTAAACTTCAGGGTCTTATAAGGGTCGAGTGTAGCGGTTATAGTTTGCATGGAGCTTAGAAAGCCTACACCTTAAGGGCTCCCTGTTATGATCCACTTGTAAAAGTCCTTCAAAAGGGGTGGTTCTTTGGGATTCAGGTAGGCTTTGGGTGCTTTCTTAAACTTTAGGGTTCAGGGTTTTCGGATATCCTTGAGCTTTAACTAAAGGGCTTGGAGGTTCTTCTTAAACATTCAGGTTGAGTTAGGGCTTGCGATTAGGGTTGAAGGGCATTCGTAGGCTTTAAGATTTAGGGTTTAGGCGGGATTCTTAGGGTTGTGGCGAGGGCTTGAGAGTTCAAGCTTACCCAGATGAAGGGTAATTTGGGGTAATGTAGGGCGTGAATAGTACTGTGTAGTATTGTTCTTGCTGCACGGGTTCCCTGATAATGTTGCGGTTCAAACATAACCCTCAAAACCCCAGTGTAAACAATCAGGCGTTTCCATTCGAGGTGTTAGCAGGCCTTTACAGCGATCTAGGCCGTTATTGCTAAGATAACGGGATAACGACTGACGACTTTAGGGGCGGTTTGTTCTTGGACTGGTTCGGATGCGTGCCCGTGCATGTAGTCGTCGTCGTAGCAGTAGTGTGAGTACGAGTACGAGTAGCAGTAGCAGCAGCAGCAATTTTAGTAGTAGTAGTAGTAGTAGTAGTAGTAGTAGTAGTCGTCGTCGTCGGAAGAAGAGAAATGGCACCCCGCCACCACCAACGACAACAGCAACCAATATCGCAGCGATAGCACTAACGCTGGTCATGACGAGCATAATGGATGTTGGTTGTCTGTTCATGATGACACCGATTGCACACTGGATTCTCCTTCGCCGAACCCTATACACCACACTTGACACCCGAAGCCACTTACAGTAGAAGCCCAAAAGTTGGAAACCCAATAGCCTCAGTCCTTACGAGTACTGTATAGGGCCAACAAGATTTGGGCGTACAGGGAGGTTCATGGGTAGGTATAAGTGGGGTTATAAGCAGGGTAACTATAAGTATAACCCATATTGGGGGGCCTTTTAAACCCATATATAACTACCCATGAACCTCCAAGCAAAACCCCTGAACCCTATACCCTGATAGAATCCTTATAGATTCCTTGAAAGGGACCCTAAAAGGGAACCCTTACAACTACCCATGAACCTCCAAGTAACCTGGTTTCCAGCTTTATGGGGTTTGCTGCAATGCCTCAGCACAGGCATAGATCGTCTCGGGAGGACCGACCGAAGCTGCCTTGTTTTGCATGAGGTAGGCGGTATTGAGGAATTGGTGTGTGTGTGTGTGTGTGTATAATATGATATGATATAATACAACAT